CACGATTACCCAAGGTGCGACGATACGTTGTGCGAGGTATGACATGACGACGAGAGAGCATAGCGGCGAGAGGTAGTGAGACGCAGGGAGGGGACGAGCAAGACAGCGGGGGGTCGGGGCACCTCATGAGAAGAAGTACTGCGACTCCTTGATGAGGTTCACGTCGAACTTGCCTTTCTCGGGCAGCGGAGGCAGGAGATCAACGAGGTTGACGAACTTGCCCCCAAGACGCTTCTCGATCTCCCCGGACTTCAAGGCAATCTTCTTGGACTTGCGCTTCTTCGGCTTCTCCTCCTCCTCAGCATCGAGCTCCAAGTCCTCGTCCTCGTCCGCCGCCGCCGCTGCCGCCGCCTCCTGCTCGACCTCTTCCTCCGCCTCTTCGGTGGACTCGGTGAGCAGCTTGGCGTCCTGGACAGAGACGCCGAGCGACTCGGGCGTGAGGCCCAGCTTCTTGATCAACGGTCCCTGAATGGCGACGAGGGGCACCTTGTAGTCCGCGTAGCGTTCCCTGAACTCCTCGTACAGCGACTTGAGAACATCCGACGAGTGCAGCGCGATGAACGTGTCACGGATGATCGCCGACATCTGGTCAATGTCGCTCGGGTGCGTCCAGTACGAGTCGTGCACAGACGCGAACGTCAGGCCCTGCGCGCGGCACTCGAGCGCGGTGAGCATCATGTGCGTCGCGTCCAGGCTGTGGATGAAGTTCGGCGGGAACGCGGACGCCTGCTTCTGCGAGTTCACCGTTGACGGTAGGTTCGGGTCCGAGATGAACACCGTCTGAATCGCCGTCATGACCTGCTTCCGCTTGATGGCGCGGTACGGCTGCACGATCGGCAGCCCGAGCGGCGTCGTCCACACGACGGACGTCATCTGCTCCTTCTTCCAGCGGGGCCCCTTGCTCTTGGAGGCTCGCTTGTTCGTCGTCGTCGGGTTCTCGCTGAACGACCGCACAAGACGGTCCTCCGGGATGGCCTTCGCGATGAGCCGTGCGCACATGTTGAGCCAGTTCTGGATGTCCTTCGCGCCCTGGAATAGGTCACCGATGGACGCGAGAACCTTCTTCGCCAGGTAAGACGCGCCGAGCCAGCACATCTCCGCAGGGATGTCGCCGCGCTCCTTGAGCTGACGCTCAATCTGATCACGGGCACCAATGAACGTGACACCGTAAACCGTAGTCATGACCTGAATATACGTACTGTCATGAGAGACCTGACCCTGTCGCTCAGAACAAAATCACTGACCGTTTGCTTGACGACCTTACGGGAGATCTTGCCAGCGAGCACCTCCGCATACTTATTGCCCTTCTCCAGGTCCTCTTCTATGCCCTTCTCCACCATGTTCGCGACGTAGGTGTAGACGTCTGAGGGACGGTCAGCAGCCGCAAGGTTGACCTGTGCGGCGCCGGCGGCGTCGCCACCAAGGGCAGCGTAGTGCTGAAGACCGTTACACGTGCCGTCCTGGTGAACGGGCAGTGAACACTCGTACGACTCCGGGTCGGGCAGGTCAAGTGCAGACTTGAGCTCCATGCACGTCGCCAGACATTGCCACGGGTCGTCGGCCTTCGTCCACCAGCGCTTACCGTCAAGCGGGTGCTCGGCACTGTCAATGATGTCCTCGAGGTGATCGTGGACGAACTGCACACGCTCGTCGAAGCTTGCCTTATCGTAGCCGTACAAGTTGGCAAGGTGGATTTTCAGCCACCGGAGACCACGAGGGCCAAGGGGCTTCGCCTCATCAAATAGCAGCAGACCACGACTCAGGTCGTCACCGATGTGACTCAAGTGAGGAGGGATGGGGTATGCACGACCACGGAAGTCGACGTTGTGGGGGAAGTAGATGGTATCACCCAGGAACTGTACGAGGTGGTCAGGCCGATACGAGGAGGAACACGAGCAGCGATACTCACAGCACGAGCGATCTCGACTTTGTAGTTGACACTGCAACGATCCGAATGGTTGGCGGCCTTCGCCTGCTGCCACATTTTCTGACGCTCGATGTAGACGGTCTTGGCCTTGTTGTCGAATTCCATGTTCTCTGGCCTTGCCGGCTCCGGCTCGTCCGGCACCGCAGGCGGGATCTTGCAGAAGCGCTCGCCCGAGTTCCACACCTGCAGCACTACGTCGAAGACGCGGCGGTTGATGCGCCACGGAGTGCTACCAAGTACGTCGAGGCCGGCGAAGACAAGCTCGAGGCGTCCAGCATCAGACGCGTGACGAAGGTACACCTCTTGCTCACGCGAGTCCTTGAAGCGCATCGCCCATGAGCGATTATAGAGGTACCCGCCTTGGTTGTAGCTCAACCAGGGCTTGGGTTTAACAAGCATGGGCAAGTGACGGGGATGGAGGGTCTCCGCGACGGAGTCCTTGGACATACGTTCGGCAACGGCAGGATTGAACTTGATGACGCCGAGCTTGTGGCCACGGAGATACTCGTACTGATGGTAGAATGCAGGCTGCTCCTCCATGCTAAGAGATATTGCCATCAGCACCCAGAACTGAAGACTGGCGGTACAACTCACATCTGTTCGCCCGTCCGGGGGTCCGTCATCGTGCGCTGAACGGTGGCGACATCCATGAGGCAGTCGACCAAGAAGCTGCCAACCTTGACACGGATCAGCTGCGACCACTCCGACGTCCACTCCTCCGAATCCTCCATGTACTTCCTGGCAGCGACCCGGCGTGCATACAGGTCGCGGTAGCCTGCGTTCGTGAAGATGCTCTTGTCGCCGGCGCGAGCGGGCATGAGGGTCGGTACGGGCAGGGAGATCTTGTTCTTCTTGCACATCTCCGCCTTGTACTCCGCCTCCACCGCACGGCCAACCGAGAGGAGGGCACGCGCAGTCTTCATGCCGTCGTTCACGCCCCCGGCTCCGTGCAGATGCATAACCTCCATAACGGTTATCAAGGACAGCTTCTCCGGGGACAGGAGCTTCAGGAATGGGCTGAGCATGATATCTTCATGCTTCCGCTGTCTGGCGCTGCTCTGCCTCATTTTCGCTAGGGAGCGCGTGAGTCGATGCAATGCGAAGTGATGATACTGTCAACATACCGATGACGCGTTCCTCCACGATGAGGTTCTCCAGCTCCGCCTGTATACGGGTAAGCAATTTCTGGTGCCACGCCCACATCCAAGCCTTCAAGTTGTTCGACTGCAGCCCCTTGCTCGGCAATCCGACCTTGTCCAGCATCTCGGCTTGGTGCTTCATCCGCTCGACGGCGACATTGTACACCGACTGCTCCAGGAGCTTCTGCCGCAGCGCGACGTCCTCAGACAACACTCGCCGCGCCAGGATCACCTGCGACAGGTGTCGCCGAAGGATTTCGAGGTTGAACGGCACTTCGCCCGCCGGAATCGGCCCCTGCGCTTTCACCTCGGAGACCGTACCGTCCTCTAGATGCTTGACCTCAAGCTCTGGAGTCTGCAACGACAAAGAGTCAAAACGGGACGGCAAGAGGGTCAAACATGGAACTCACCTTCGCTTTCATGACGGGAACGACTTCGGGGACGTCCTCCAGCGGATCCGGGGCCTGCCTACCCAAAGACTCCGCCATGCCCAGCTCCGAGACGACACTCGACAGACCCATCTGCACAGCGGCTTTCGATAGCGCCTTGATAGCCTCGTTCGCCTCCTCGTCAGTGGTGAACGCGCGGTCCGCAACGACGAGCGACGGGGAGATCTGCCTGCCGATGATGTTGCGCAGGAGCGAGACGGGGTCGTGCACCTCGGCCCCGCCGATGATGACCGGGTTCTTCGAGTCGGGGTTGAAGCGCAACCACGCCTGGAGCATGATGGCGTACGTGTTCGCCGTAGGGTGCGCGCTGTCCCTCCCGTGCTCCATGTCGTTGTACAGCTGCCACGCGTCCTCGAGCCAGTTGGCGCGGTTGATCTCCTCGCGGTTCGTCGCCATCTCCAGGTACGCCTCCAGCATCAGGTTGTACACGCGAGACTCGAGGATAGGGTCGCCCTGTCTCGTTTCGCGGAGCCGCTCGAACATCTCCTTGGCACGGGGAACGTCTTGAAGCCCGTGCAGACAGGCGTCCATGATCGCGACAGCGTCCTGGGTCGGCGAGTCGGCGAAGAAGTAGTCAGTCGCGGGCGTGGCAACGTCGTCGGGGAGAGGGGCCGGCAGGATGGTGTAGGAGGTCCGGCGGTGAAGGAAGTCGTGCATGTCGTCGTGAATGGCCGGGGTGCGCGGCGCCGCGCTCGTCGACGCCTGCGCCATGTACGACGGGAACTCCTGCGAGGTGCCAGAGGTGGACAGAGCTTCCTCAGCATGAAGCTTTTTGGTCGGCGTCGAGTAGAGACGGGCAGGGCGGGGGAGGGTCTGGCGAGTGTACGATACGGCCCGAGCCGCGTTCCTGCGCGTGAGCGGAATCATCGTCGTCGAGAAAGTCGGAGGCGGGAAGAGAAGGAGTTTTGGGATGAGAAAGAGGACCAGCGAAGATCCCTCCTCGAGTGCAGAAGACAAGGACTCTGCAAAGTGCCACAAAAGTGCCAGGCTGCAAAATATCGGCGCTGTGTCAGCGGCAAAATGGCCACGTGGCGCCAGCTTACCAGAATTGATGCGCCTGTTACCGCATGCGGAACACATACTGAACGCCCGAGCTTGCGCCGGGCGTGTCGCTGACGAGAGCGTCGACGAAATCGTGGGGAGCTGGGTGCGGTTGTAGCAGGGCACCCGCATGGGGCACGCGTACATCGGCCAAAAAGAGTTGCTTACAGGACATAAGTACAACGTGAACCGTGCGCGTGACGGAAACGGCGTGCTGATGGGGGAGAGAAAGAGAAAGAGAAAGAGACAGAGACTCCGCCGGACGCGCCCCCTTATATACCATCGACGAGTTAAAGTTTGAGAGGATCGTGAAGAATTCGCGACTCTTCACCGACTCTTCCCATATACAGACTCTCGTGCGCCCTTCTGTGCGCCCATGACGTAGTTTCGTTTCGCTGCTTCCTTGCACGATCACCTGGGTTGTGCGTAGGGGTGTTATTTGTCGGGCATGTGGTGTAGTTGGTTATCACGCTCGCTTAGCATACGTCCTAGTCGTCTTTCGATGTGAAGCTGCGAGAGGGGTCCGGTTCAATCCCGGACATGTCCACCGATGCTGAACGTCTCTGTCACTTTTTATACACCTTACTGCACAAATCTCGGAAGTACTTCATGCCACGGCGTGAGACGGTGTCAGCAAACCAAGACAGTTGACCCTCTGCACACAGTGCACAGCGCGCCCCATACTTTGTATCTACATACAGTATCGACATGAATCCCTTAGATGCATGCCTACGTACTTACTTACACTGTAACACTTAAGCCCAGCCGCTCAGCTGGGTCCGTCACCATGGTGGTGCAGCGGGGCCACCCCATGGCTACACACCTTCAAGGCTCCCATTTGTATGACGCCTCTGACGTCACCCCATACCCACCCAAACGCATATATATCACCGACCCCCATGGCCAGTTGATCTCAAACTTCTTGCACGAACAACACACACACCTCACAAACCTTCCTCACAAACATCACTCACAATGTCCTCCACGAACACCGCCGGCGCAGGCAACACCTTCGCGACACAGCCCCCGCCGACGCACCACACGCACAAGTCGTCCGACGTCCTCCCCGGCGCCCGCGGCGCATCCCAGGCGGCACAGAACTACAGCACGGACGTGACCGAGAACCCGCGCGTGTGGCAGGACGAGCACGAGCGCAAGTACGGCGCGGGCTCGGACACGCGCGCCGTCGTCGCCGGGGGCCAGCACGATGCGCCCAACACCGGGAGCTCCGCGTTCGAGGGCGAGCGGCCGATGGGCGTGCAGCCCACTGAGCAGGGTGCGTTCTCGCTGCCGGGTTTGAAGACAGAGGAAGATGCTGACTATTTCCTCGCAGGCGGCGTCGCGATCGGCGGCGAGGCAAACCTCCCCGAGGGCCATGCGAAGATGACCGACAAGATCATCGGCAAGACGCAGAAGGTATGTCCTTTGCGGGTTTTCCGCGCTTCATCCGCTGACGTCGCACTGGCGATAGCTCACTGGCAAGATGACGCACAACGCCGAGATGCACGAGAAGGGCGAGCTGCGCGAGGCCGGTGGCAAGCTGGCCGCGCAGGGCCAGGCGCGTGCGCCGCACGACTAGGTCGCAGCGAGATGAGAAGACATTTGCATTGTATTTGTACCATGACGCACCTGTAATACCATCTCATACCCTTGTCCTTGCACGCCCCAGCAACTACAACTTCAGCATATCGCATACACATACAAGACCTACTGTACAGATCATAAGAGAGCGATGAGCGTAAGCATAACTCCAAGCTACCAAGATCCACGTCGATGGGAATAAACAGCAATCACGGAGCGTTCACTGTGCGGGCACTTCACCCTTCTTCGTCTTGCCCTGCACGAGCGCCTTGTGCACGAACGGAAGCACACCTATAAGCCAGTACGTCAGTGCAATGTCAAAGGCGAGACAGCAGGAGCGCGCACCTCCTCCAGCGATGGTCGCGCGGACAAGTGTGTCGAGCTCTTCGTCACCCCGGATAGCGAGCTGCAAGTGACGGGGCGTAATACGCTTCACGCGCAGGTCCTTCGACGCGTTCCCTATCAAGCAGCACGCGATAATCAGCCTCTCGGGTAGAACAAAGCCAGGGAAGACATACCGGCAAGCTCCAGGACCTCGGCGGTGAGGTACTCAAGAATCGCGGTGGTGTAGACGGCAGCTTTTGCACCTATGCGGATGTTGTGCTGCGTGCGCCGCTTGAGGTATCTGTGGATACGCCCAACAGGGAACTGTTCAAACAAGGTCGCGTCAGTCAGCGTTCTGCTGGCTGTTGAGTGCAGCTCAGGCCTCGCAGACAATGGGCCTCGTATTCCGGGACAGGGGCAGGGAGGGAAGCGTACTGGAAGCACGCGGATTTTGTGCCCAGGAGCAGACGATTGGGCAGTCTCCTATAGAGGAGCTGGGTTACCCAATCCTGTCGGCCCATCCTGCCTCTTGCACTCCAGTCAGGAGGCCCGGAGAGCGTTCCGCATCCATGGGAAGAAATGGGAGCCCAACTACGACACAGAGACACAAGGGTGGGGAACGTACTTGCAGTCCAGCCTTAGAGCTACGCGTCTGAAGGACCTTCTGCGGCGCTGCAGTCTCAGCTGCGGGAGCGGGGGCCTTAGCCTTTCCTCCGGCTTTCTTTGGGGGCATCTCGGTTGCTCAGAACTTCAGAGAGTCGTGCGATACGTGTAAACCCGGCAGCACGGAAGCTTTCGACGCGTGGACTGAGTATGAGGGCAAGAAGGAGAACGCGTGTGGGCGCGTGAATGGCTTTCAACTCCGGGATACCGTCTAGGGGTATTAGCAGGGACGCCGTGAGCTGGGGGAAAGGGGGCAACTCGCGACAATGAGTCTTACAATCGCGTTGTGAGCGTACAAGAGGGCCGCGGAGAGGAGGACGGTCCAAGACGCGATGGTGGCAGGCGCGATGGTGGTGGCAGGAGGTCAAGGAGGGATCCCAGCATGCGCGCCGCGTTCGTGCGAGGACTCGATCGAGATAGCAGCTGGATCTCTCAACAAGATCTGGGCGTGGCACGTGGGGCGCGTCATCGTGAAAAGTACGCGAGTGGGGCGTGTTTTGAGGGTGGGGCAGCAAGCGTGCAGTTGAGCTGCTTTAAAAGGCCCTCAACGTCGGCTCGGACTCGTTCGTCCTTTCCCCCATCTCGTTCAGATATCCCCCGCGACGATCAGCGATGCCTCGCGCATTCCACATACCCGGCGTCATCTTCTTGTTCTGCGCCTTCATCCTCCTCATCCTCGTCTCGATCTCCCTGCCGTTCATCACCGCACTCGATGTTGCCCGTGTGCACTTCAAGAGCGGGAGCCCGACGGTGAACTCGGATTCGACCGTCATCAACGAACTCAGAGTGAGTCCCGCCAGTTGTAGTCTGTGCACGCGTGACTGATGTGTTTTTGCGCCCAGTTTGGCACCTGGTGAGTCGCTCGAGATAGCTCGAGATGCAAAAAACCGCTCGATGCTTACAGCGCGCCATAGGGCGACCTGCTGGTACGAGGACATCGGCAACCGCGTCTGCAGCCCCTCGCACAACGCCTATGCCACCACCATCCATGGCAACGACGGCAGCTTCGTCAACATCGGTCCTTCGTGGACTCGCGGCCTCGCCATCCATCCCGTCGGTGAGACCGCTCCTTTGCATCATTGCTCTTCCGCGAAGCTGACACCCTGTCGCAGCGGCGGGAGTGACGCTGATTGCGTTCATCCTCTCGCTCTCCACCCACGTCACCATGACTCTCTTGGCGTCTCTCACCGCGTTCCTGGCCGCTCTACTCACGCTCATCGCCTTCGCCGTCGATATCGCGCTCTACGCCTTCGTCAAGCACGAGATGGGCAAGCTGAACGGAGTCAGCACTAATACCGATACCGCGCCTGGTGAGTCTTTCTCCTCTCGCAGATTTGCGCCTATCGTGCCATTCCCTGTGCTTTGCGCGTGAGTCTCGCCGGGTCTCGTGCACCCCAGTCGCGTCCGCCACGAGCCCAGCCAGCGCCACCGCTCGGCTCGTTGCCGCCTCTGAACCGCGTTCGAGTGGCTACTATCCCATCCCTGATTCTCGCACGCGAGCATATGTGCAACATATGGCATATGCTCTGCCAGTCCAACAGGGTGGCTGTCATCCTTTACGCGTTCCCCCTTCCTGTCTTGAGCCCGAACCTCCTACTGACACGCGTCTTCTCCCTGCAGGCTTCTGGCTGACCTTCGTGTCCTTCCTCCTGCTCTGCTTTGCCGGGTGCACGGTGTGCTTCGGGCGCAGGCGCGATCGCCTCGACGGCGCGACGACCTACTCCTGGAGGGATCGCTTCCGCCTCGGCCGCAAGCGCTACTAGATTGCAGTCGTCTGTTGGCTCGAGGGCGCCCACCACGCGCCGGCCCAAGCCCACGAGATCGTGTTCGGCCCGGGGTGTCGAGCCCAACTGCTACAGGTATCTATTGAGATGGACTCTTGACGAACACCTGCATACCTCTTCATGCCCCTTGTTGTGTGCATGCATACCAGTACTTGTTTGTCCATATATGCAGTCGTAAGTATTACGACGTAGATTCGTTGTTTAATACACGTGCTGATCTCTGTAGCTGCTTGTGCGTGCGTCGTCGTGCCGCGTACCTGGATAAGTAGCATCGCAGCAGCATGAGACTCTGCCCTACTCTGCCAGTACTTACTCTAAGCGCTGAATCGAGATACGGGATCTACCGCTGCAGCGGGGTTCACCGTTCGACTTCGGAGCTGACGCACACCGGGACGCAGCATGTCTCGGGCATGATAGAGGAACTCGGGGGGTAGCAGGAGGAGTACGATCATGGCGCGGGGGGGACTTCGATGCGAATGGACGAGTAGACAGGCATTTCTTGCGAGTACAGTACGTACGTCTCGCCGGGCTACTGCACTGTGGGCACTCTGGTGCTCACCATATGGTGCACGAATCGCAGTCACGCCCACATACAGTCAGGGCCCCGCTCTCCCGAGGCTTGCAGCGTTTTGTGGACATGCTCTCCTCTAGTAGGCCACTTCTGTTTGACATTGATCTGGATGCTGTGAGTAAGTTCTGCCAGAATAAGAATAAGTGAGCTTTGGTCGCGGTCGGATATTGCAGTTTCGACCTTACCTGTTGCCGGCTCGGAGCATCATCATACTCATAGACAAGTTATTCGTCGCCGAATGCGTCCAGGATCCAGATTTGGCAGTCTAGGCGCTCGGACGTCTGACTGATCAATGTCGTAGCTTTCAATGTCCACGGTCATCGCGCCGTGGTCAGCAGATTGCTCATCCGAGGCTAACTAGACCGGATGGAAGGAATGCAGTTGACCGATCGGACTGTAAGCATTCG